ATGCTTGCTACAATCACTGTATTGGGTGTGCCAAAACATATCAAAACTGACAATGGCCCAGGTTATACAAGCTCCAGTTTCCACCAATTTTGTGAAAAATTGGGAATACTACAAAAAATGGGTATTCCATATAATCCACAGGGCCACGGTATGGTAGAAAGCGCACATCAAACCATTAAATGTCAATTCGAAAAAAATAAAAATGGAGAATGGTACCCTACTAAGGGATCCCCCAGAAATATCCTTCATCACACGCTCTTTATTTTAAATTTTATAACTTTGGATTCTGAAGGAAAATCTGCTGCAGATAGATTCTGGCATCCTGATACCAAAAAGAATTTTGCAATAGTCCTCTGGAAAGACCCATTAACTGGAACCTGGATTGGGCCAGATCCAGTGCTTATCTGGGGAAGAGGTTCTGTCTGCATATATTCCCAAACGGCAGATGCCACACGCTGGCTGCCAGAGAGACTGATCAAACAAAGAGACAACAATAACAAATCCAGGGAGGAGAAACCCCCTGAGAAGCGTATTTTTTTCTTTATAGGAAACATGAAGATGCTTCACAATTGTCTTCAAACAGGAGCGGATCAACCAGCATACCAGACTTGGGAAGTTCTCAGTGCAGAAGAAGACATCACCACCCACACCTCCAGGGTGGCTCTACTGGACTTTTGGTTCCCTGATTTATGATTTAGTGGAATACATTGTTTAGACTCAGGAGAAAACCCATTACCACAGTTACTATAATCGTTTTTTGGGTTTAAGATTGACTGAGACAGGAATGGGGATTTTCTTTATTTGTTTTTGTTAAGATCAAAGCTATGATTAGTTCTGTACTTCTATAGATTTAGATTTAGAAAGAATGGAATCTGCTATCATGCATCTGTAAAATTCATTATCCTTCTTAGCTGAAATAGTGCTACAGAATAGAAGAGGCTTATACTTTTTACTCCTCCAAAAGAGAGAGTTATGTGCTACCCTAAAAAGAGTGTTGCTTTTGCACTAACCATTCAGGCATTGCTAAGTCTCTTGTCTCTCGGGTTCACACTGTTCAACAAACTGATGGCTTTTGTACGACAATAGATAGACGCTATTCAAATGAAACCCATACAGGTCCGTTATTACAGGCTGGAAGTAGGGGACTCCAAAACCTCTGTCATCAAGACTGACGAGGATTAACCCCTAACTTACGCGCTAAGCCGGATAGTCAATGATGGGTAAGAGAACACTTCAAGACCCTTGCCCCAAACTGGGAGGCCTCACCATCCTAAGACAGGAGCTCAACCAATGGCTGTTGAGTATCCAAAGACGGGAAAGGGAGGCTGGGGTCCTTTGTCCCAAACTAAGACAGACATGGTTTCCGTAAGTTTTCCCAGCTTTCCCTTTTAAAAACAAATTTAAAAAGGGGGACCTGTTGGGAGCCGACTCTGAGCAGAGGGTGGCTATTATCTTTGCAGCCATCTTGAGCCATGTACCCTGACAAGAGACTTGTTTTCAACAGCTTACAACAGCTGAGCACACTCTGATAATTATCTTGATCCTTTCAGTCAAGGCCAGGCAGTGGTAGCATACGCCTTTAATCCCAGCACTTGAGAGACTCAAGAGAGATATAAAAGGGCAGTCAGAGGCAGAGAGCAGACAGACTAGTCAGAGCAGACAGACTCCATCTCCAGACAGACTCAGACTAGACAGACCGACTCAGAGCAGATAGACTCAGAGCATACAGACTAGACTAGACAGAGACAGACTCAGACAGACTCAGACAGACTCAGGCAGACAGACTAGACAGAGCAGACAGACTCAGACTCCGTCTCCAGCAGCAGACTTCATCTCCACCAGGCAGACTCCGTCTCCAGCAGGCAGACTTCGTCTTTGACCAGACTTCGTCTTGTCTCCATTCTTCGCGTCCCTGTCCCCACTCTCTCTCTTGCTCCCTGACCCTTGGACTGAAGCAGCAGAACAGCTCGCTACAAAGGCCACACCTCCTAATAGTGCTACTCCGTATGAGCAAAGTATTCAAACACATGAGTCTGTGGGAGCCTATCCTAGTCAAATCACCACAGCCTGCATCCCTGGAGAAGGATGAGTTTATTATGTAGCCCTCTGTTCTCCATAGTGCCTCAGATGAGGCGCGCCTTCTTGAGCCCTTCACTTATCCTGTTAAAATTTTGGTTGGTTTGATCTTAGGCAAGTCTTATACATGTGAGTTCACATATGCAATGGCCCTATCATGTCTGGTAAAAACTGTCTCACTACATTGGTTCACTCTGTCTCTTAAAGACTTTCTGCCCTCTCTTCCACAATGATCTCTGAGCCTTGTGGGGAAGGCACATGGCATAGACATCCCATTTAGAGGTGAACTCTACAGTCTTAGTCTCTGCATGGTGACCAGTTACTGGATGCTGTATCAATCACCACCTACTTCAAAAAGAAGGTTCCCTGATAAAGGTTGAGGAATCAACTGATCTCTGAGTATGAATATGAGAGCCTGAAGTCTGTTACTACGTCCATTAACAGACTAGTAAGTCTAGGTTCTCCCCACGGCCTATGATGTAGTTAGCCACAAGGTTTTAGCCCAGTTAATGGTACCAGGCATGGGTTCTACCTTGTGGAACTGGCTTCAAGTCCAACCAGAAAATGGTTTGTGGGAAGCTGGAGAAAAGGTTCAGCAGTTAAGAACACTGCTGTACCTTGCAGAGAAATTCACATGGTGGTTCACAAGACTCTGTACCTCCAGTTCCAAGAGACCTGACTCCTTTTTCTTGCCTTCACAGGCACCAAGGATGAAAATAGTGCAGACACATTTTAAAAAATAAACAAATGAAAAGGCTTGTTTACAAAAATTAGAAAATGGTTGGTTGGCCCCATGACACTCTTGTGCCTGTGGACATATCTTGCCAGGCCAGGTTTACAGCTGGCCGAGTTTACAGCTGAATAAGACAGAGAAACACTTTCCTGTCCAGTAACATGCATAGGACAGTTAACAAGGTGTAAGTTTTAACAAGGTGCTAGCTGAGATTTACCCTCTATTTTGTAGCAGATCTTTAACCAGATTTCCCATACTTCCTGACCTGCCAATGACCCTTGTAAAGATCAGCTAGTAATGTGAGATACACAGGGGTTTGTTGGATGTACCAGCAGGGTACATTCTTGGAGCTGGTAGTTTACTGAATGGGTCCCTTGATCTTGAATGCACTCTGGCATTCTCCAGCAGATTCTCCAAATGTGCCTACTTCACAGGCCACTCTGGGAAAGGGAAAAGCCCCATGGTCTAACCCTGTGCCTCACAGTGAAGGACAGTACCCCTGCCCATCACAGGCTCTCATACGGCAAATGAACATGTCACAAGGCTATTCTCTTGGAAATAGAGAGGAATAGAACAAAAATATAATATTTCCATAAATTTCCCTGATATGTGTATCATTGTGTTTGTGTCCTGTGCAAAAGTTATCCTTAACCTAAAGGCAACCAGAGCAGGACATGTGATAGAAACACCATTTCTATTTATGATAGTTTGAATATGCTTAGCCCAGGGAGTGGCACTATTAGGAGGTGTAGCCTTGCTGGAGTAGGTGTGTTACTGTGGGTGTGTGCCTAAGACCCTAATTCAAGCTTCCTGGAAGCCAATCTTCTCCTAGTAGCCTTCAGATGAAGATGCAGAATTCTCACCTCCACCTGTACCATGCCTGCTTAGATGCTGCCATGCTCCCACCCTGATGATAATGGACTGAACCTCTGAACCTGTAAGCCAGCCCCAATTAAATGTTGTTCTTATAAGAGCTGCCTTGGTTAAGGTATCTGTTCACAGCAGTAAAACTCTAAGATACTATTCAACAAATATTAAGCAGTCTGTGCTTCACAAATAAGACATCTTCTTCTTCTCTGTCTCTGTTGCAACCAAAGCACCAGATTCAGGTTGACCCATGCCAGAAAACCCGCCCAGCCCAGAAGCTGTCTGCCTCCAGACAGACATACAGCTGGCCACAACAGGCTTAATAGTTGCAGAAACTGGAGGCCAAACTGAACACCATTTTCCAGATGAGGTCAACCACTCCCAGAGTACTGTGAGATCTTCTCAAGCCAGAAAGAATAGTAGGTGCCCTTTGCCTTCCCTGCTCTCCTACAATGTTACAGCCCAGGGTATGTGTGTGTGTGTGGGTCACACTCTGTTCTAGGGCTACTGGTGAATGCTAAAAGACATGCTGACATGGAACGGAGTTTTTGTTTTGTTTTTAATGTGTTCAGGGGCACTGGTAAACAAAGGCAGTTAATGTCACTGGAAGTGGTAACATGCTAGGGAGAAGATTGGGGCTCTCTTGCTCTCTGTCCTTTTCAGCGACGCCTCATGCACACAAGGCTGCTGCTCTTCCACAGAGCTACGACCCCATCCTAGAACTGAGATTGTTGTTGTTGTTGTTGTTGTTACATTTTGGGGGGTAGGGGTACCACTGCATGGATGTGGAGGTAAGAGGAGCCCTTCAAAGAGTTGGTTCCCTCTTTCCATCATGTGAGTTCCAGGGGTCAAATTCAAGTCATCAGGCTTGACACCAATCACCTTTTACCCACTGAATCATCTCACTGGCCCTGAAGATGTTTTTTAGATGTTTTTAGATTTATTTGGTTGGTTTTTGTCTTGCCTGCACATGCATACGTGCACCTCACACATGCCTTGTATCTGTGAGCATCAGACGGCGTTAAATTTTCTGGAGCTGGAGTTGTAGATGGTTGTGAACCACTATGTAGGTCCTGGGAACTGAACCCAGGTTCTCTCTAAGAGCAACAAGTGCTCCTTAACTGCTGAGCTATCTCGCCAGCCCCTGGAAATAGTTTTGATAAGGGGAGGAAATGCTGGGTGAAAGATACATACTGTGACTGAGCCTGAGACACACGTGTTCTCAGCAACTCCAGGACCCGGGGTAAGAAGGAGGTTGTAAAAGTTGGATCCTGTTCTTCCTCCCAGTCTCATGCTCCCAGAAATAAGACTCAGACTCGAAATGTATTTACAAATACCTTGGCCATATAGCTAGGCTCTTCTCCAGCTAAAACTATAACTTAATATAACTCATTTATGTTTATCTACATTCTGCCACATGGCTGATTACCTGTGCTCAGGTGCCATTGTCACATTTTCCCCAGGTGAGTCTCTCTCCTGGCTTTATCCCAGAATTCTCTCTTCTCCTGAATGTTCCACACCCTATTTCTTGCCTAAGCCATAGGCCATAGCCTTTTTAATTGACAGGTGATGCATCCATACAATATTCAAGACATTCTCTCTACAGAGGAGGTCATCTGACCAAGGCCTCAGGAACCTATGAGAGCAAAGTGGCCACTGCCAATGCTGCTGGTTGCCTCATGACAGGAATGCCAGCCATTTTTTTTCCGGAACAACCTCCCCCAGGCCTCAAGGACAACCAGAAGGAAGACCCTCTTGCCCCTCATCAGCAAGAACCATGGAGCCTGAACAAACTCCTACTCCATTAGAACTTTTGGTCACTTTTGGGCAAAGAGCTGCTATCAGCATTAGCTCCAGAGGTAAATTCTGGATTAAAGCCGTAGTTAACATAGTCATTGGTGTTTGCATCAGCAGGGAAGGGGTACTGTGGGCAAGAAGGCTCTGAGGCCACTGTTGTCTTGGTGGCTAGTTTCTCCTCCAGTACCAGAGCTTGGTTAACATCTGGCCCTGTGGAAGAGAAAGAAGAACATACACCTATGGTCAGAGAGCCATGCAAATGGATGGCATGGGCATCACAGCCAAAAATGCAAATCTAGCTAGAGCTGGGCTCTGCCATTGGCTGTACCTCCTGGATCTTGCCTCACACTACCAACAGCCATTTCGGCTGGCATGTCCACCACCCTCACCAGCCTGCCTCAGCAGGCATGCTCTCTCAAGAGGATCCGTGACACCTGCTCTCTCTCTTTGTTCCTGGGACAATCTGGTACTGACACCACAGGCAACCCTCCTCTAAAAAGGATACCTTATATTGTAACTACAAACCCAAGGCACGGGGCAACCACGGCGTCGGACTCTATACTCACAACATGCCTTTCAGCTCTGCCTGCATACCCCTTGCTTCAGGGTATCCTTGACTATAGCTGCAGCACTGGGGATGGCAGGCTTGCAGGGTCCTTGGTACTCTCCACCCCATATAGGTCTAGAAACTTCCAGTTCTGGGCTCACAATATCTCCCAGGAGTGTTCCCTTACTATCCCCAACATACACATTCTTCTCCCCAAAGATAGCCAGTGAGTTCCTATAGGTGACTCTAATGTCACCACCACCACCACCACCATCACCATCAAACTTTGTCGAGAGTATTAACAACTGACAGCAAATATCAACATCTCCAGGTTTACTCTAAGAAAATATTGGATGACAAGGTCAAAGACTCAGCCACAAGATCAGTTGCTGCAGTGCTACCAACAGTAGGATAGCGTCAGAAATAGTCTAATGACCAGCAGTCGTAGGCTGCTTAAATAGACAGTGGAGAAATTGTCATGGGCAAAGGAAACACTTCTTCCTGGGGTACTTGGTGAGTTAAGCACTGTGCAGCACCATTAAAAATCTACTAAAATCATCATTAGTTCTAATAAGCTCTTTAGAGTATATTGTAAGCACTCTTTCTGATGCTCATGCCCCTGTAAATAACCAAAGATGCTGCAGGATGGGGCAATTGGCTTTCCTAAGCACCAGCTGTGGGACTCTCCCTTGCTATTCTGTCTACCTTGAAGAAAAGAATTATCAGCCAGACAACCTTTATGCCTGCATCAGCTGTAGGGTGAACATTCCCCTTGGTGGTGTAACTGGAGAACTGTTGCAAGTGATGTTAAGAGGCAAGACTATGATTGACCTACAACACAAGCTAGGATGGAATTGATGCCAAGAGAAAAGCTGTGATTGGTCCAAAACGGAGCCTCAATGACTACAGCTGATGCTGAGACTGTGATTCCAAACATATAAACTGTGATTGGCCAAAACACACCTTCTCTTACTGTATAAGCAAGAGGCTCAGAGTCTACTCAATTTCATGGGCCACACAGATCAGTTCTCAGTGTAAAATACATATTCTGTGCTGAGGTGTGACTCAGTGGTACAGCACTTGCCTAGTATGTGAAATGTTCTGAGTTCCATCTCCAGAAAAGTGTGTGTGTGTGTAAGTCTGTGTGTGTGTGTGTAAGTCTGTGTGTGTGTATGTGTGTGTCTTTGTGTCTGTCTCTGTATGTGTGTGTCTTTTTGTGTATGTGTCTGTGTTTGTATCTGTGTATCTGTGTGTGTCTGTGCTCGTATGAATGTGTGTCTGTGTATGTGTGTGTCTGTGTGTATGAGTATGTGTCTTTGTGTGTGTGTTTGTCTGTGTGTCAGTGTGTGTTTATATGTATGAGTGTGTGTATCTGTGTCTGTGTGTCTGTGCATGTGAGTTGCTAGTGTGTGTGTATATTTGTGTGTTTGAGTGTATATCTGTTTCTGTCTGTGTGTATGAATGTGTCTGTTTGTATCTGTGTGTGTGAATATGTACATGTGTGTCTGTGTGTCTATGTGAGTGTGTGTGTCTGAGTGTATATGTGTGTGTTTAATTGTGTGTGTGTGTTTGTACGTGCACAAAAGTCTAACAGAAAAGTGCAGCAGACCACACAGTGTTTAAGGCACAATCAATTCATAGAGAAAGATGCTTGTTGCATATTAAATATAAAACAAAAGCTTCCAAAGTAGGACGTACGGTAAAGATCTTGGCCTGAACTCCCTGAGTTTTCCAAGGGAGCAGGCACCATTTTGGTCAATACTCATAGTTGTGAGATCTTGGCTGGGTGTGCATGGGTACTCACCCAGATAGCTGAGGACAACGGGCAGGAAGACCAGGCCATGCAGCAGACCCAGCAAGGTGATCAGGAGGTTGAGGCGGAAGAAGAAAATCTGTATAAGCTGGGCCTGAGCAAAGCCCAAGATGAGGATGCCTGGGAAGTTGGTCATGGCCACTCCAGCAAACACCTGGTAGGGGTCATGGCCAGGAGTCAGGGAGGACATAAAGGCTCAGGTGGAGCACAAGGTGATCCATCCCTCTCCACTCACCGCACTGCCCATGAAGATAGTAGCATCTTTGGCCCTTTCCAGCCGTGTAGGCTTGGTGCTTACAGCAAAGGACCGGGTGAGGTGGGACACAAACTCCACAGACATGCCCACTGCCTACAGGCAAGAGAAAGAAACTTCAGGCAACAAGGGAGAAGATGGGGTGGGGGTGGGGAGAGAGGTACAAGAAAGTAAGCCAGGCAGATGTCTAGATCCTACATAAATGGGGTGGCTTATGAGTCTAGATCCCCAACTGCCAAGACCCGCTCTGTAGGTTACCGTGACAAGGTTGATGAGGGACACAGCATTGTAGCTGATACCCCACACAGCCATGAGGCCGATGGTGTCCACGAGGATCATAATGATGGAGAGCAGGTTGAGGATGCCTGAGCGCATGTCCAGACCCAGTAGGAGGTAGCAGACAACAAAGGTGGGCACAAAGCAGAGAGCAAGAGTGAAGATTCCCTCAGGGAGAACTGTCAGGTATTGCTGGTAGAACACGTTGGAGATCCTGCCAAAAATCAGGGTGTGGTCAAAGCACCAATTCTTCCTTCAAGTGAGAAGGGTATCCCATCTCAGAAGGAAAACATGAGATTCAGAGATTTGAGTTTGGGTGCTGGCCGGTGTAAGAAACAGACAGGGCCCCAAGCTACCCAGGAGACAGCTGAGACAAAGCTAGTTCTCATCCCTCAAGATCACTCAAAGCCTACAGCCCTCCCCCCTCCCCGACATCTCTTGTGTGGCTGTTTCCTCCCACATCCCTGGCTCAGCCTCCTAGTTCTCACGTGTAAGGGAAGACCTCAAAGTTTGGATCTGTCCCAGGCACCTTCCGTAGTTCAGCTGTGATATTGGCTGCTAGCAACCGGGACGCCCGGAGAGCTTCTGTAAAGTCCTGTGAGTTCCTTAAGGGCTTGTGGTAGGCCATGAACTGGGAAGCTGAAAGTCAAAGGTCAGTGCCCATTGGTGTATCCCAGAGACATTAACACAGATGTGATCACATTGGGTTCAGGGCTCCACCAGCGGCGCTCGAAATTCCTGATCAATTCTCTACAAGAGACCCACATTTCCTTATCATTTTTAACATGTATGAGTGTTTTGCCTGCATGTATGTCTGTGCACCACATGCATTCCTGGTACCTGTGGAGGCCAGAAGAGGGTGTGGGATCTCCTGTAACTGGAGTTAAAGACAGTTATGATCTGCTGCACAGATGCTGGGAGTCAGATCTGGGTCCTCCAGAAGAACAGCCAGTACCCTGAACCTCTGAGCCATCTCTCCAGCCTCAAGAACTGCATTTGCACTTTGCATGAACATCCTTAAACTGTACTTACTCCTGCCACTGAGACCAAAGCCCGACTTTGATAGGTGAAGCCTGAAAGATCATCCCTTATGTACCACCTGTAATCCCAGTAGCTAGCAGACAGAGGTAGGAAAATTCAAGTTCAAGTCTGGCTTGAACTTGAGCGTGAGATACTGTCTCAAAAGCAAAACAAACACTAAAATATCTCCCTCGTGAAACCAAATCTTTCTATGCATGCTTTCAAAATATGCACTGGATTTTTAAACAAAAACTTAGCCTGTTTTTTTTTTTTTGTTGGAGTATGGTGTTTCATATTTGTGGTCTCTGTACTTGGGAAGACAGATTCAGGAGTTCAGCACTACATAGAAAGTTCTAGACTGGTGTGGGCCTGTCTCAAAAAATTTAATTTTCAGCTTGCCTATTCCTGTAGGAACAGACTAGAGAGGAAGACAGGCAAACAAAAATGACTGAATTATTAAAGCTGTGACTTTGGGATCCTGCCTGTAAGTACAATAAACAACCCTTGTGAATTGTGTTCAGCAGTGTTGTGTCCACCAAAAAAAAAAAAAAAAAAAAAAAAAAAACCCACGAGGGCCAGGCACACACAGGGAAAACAAAGAGAGATGAGAAATAATCTCCAGTACACAATCTTAAGGTTCCTATGGAGCCTGATGCTATGCCTCTGAGCACCTGAAGATCGTTCACACCCAGAAGGATGAACATCTTCATCCAGAGATATGGTTCAGCATGTCTCAGGCAAGGTGTGGGCATGTTTAGCAATCTCTTGATGATGTTAATAGTGTGGGAAGAGAGAGGGGAGCTCTCGTTTTGAAAAGTGCTGCTGTAGGATATTTAGGGCCATGGTGGATACAGACCTGCCCTGGGCCAGGTGGGGCAGGGCTGTCTCTTCCCTCCAAGAAACAATCTACTCCTCTGTCCATCATACCCCAATCCCTTTCGACCACATGGGTTCTGTATGGCTTTGTTGCCTAGAGGACCCAGGTAAGGTAGGGTGCCTTCTTGGAAGATAGGAATTTCATAGAAGAGTTAGCTTGGAGGGTGGACTAGATGTGCTACAGTCAATTTACAGCTAGTGACCCAAACTCTGAGTTGTTTCAGAAAAAAAAAAAGAATTCATCCAACGCACTCAGGCCCATCTCCATGCCAGCCTCTCCAGGGTACTCATAGTGGTGTGTGGTGTGCACAGATCTAACTACAGCTGGCTCCCTCCATGCAGATGGCTGGCCTGTTTCTGCTGCCTGCTGTGTTAAGCTTCTCTTGACCGACCTGTCAGACGTCATCCCCCTAGTTATTGTTGATGGCTCTTGGGATTCCACTCCACGGAGGCATTCTACCTCATTTAGCCAGCAGCTGCTGCTGACACCTCCATATGATACACACAAGAGTGAATATGTGTTGAAGTGGGTGGCTCTCAATAATGACATCAGCTGTTACAAAGGCTGCCACACGTTTCACAGTGTCAGTGGACTTGGGGTGAAACAACGGGTGAAGTTGTGACAATGGAGAGGAGGAGGTGGAGCCAATGAGTCTGCTCATGGAGTTGAAAAGGAGAATCCTTGCTTACAGGCCCAGGACAGTTATACACCTACACACACACACACACACACACTCACACACACACACACTCACACACACACTCACACACTCACACACACACTCACACACACTCACACACACTCACACACAAACACACACACACAAACACAGACACACACACTCTCTCTCACACACACACACACACACACACACACACACACACACTCACACATCAGCCACATACACAGGTGCTCTTGGAGGGGCTCTAAAACAGCTGGCTAACTTGAGATCTCCTCCCCAAACCACACCACACTTACCTATAACCTGGCCATCTGAGCTCAAATTCACAGCGGTTCTGTATGCTGCTAGACCCCTGCAAAGAGGAGGCCAGAGTAAAGGCTTAGAGAGGATTGGACCTTGTTCTGTCAGCCCACCCACTGTACCCCAGGAAGGGCTTGGCTAGACACTCCTGCCCCTCTGTGTCTACCATCTCTGGAACCCACAAGCCTCCCCCATCTCCAGCAGGAGCCACCCTCTGAACCTACCCTTTAGGACACCTGATGTTAGGCACATCATTCAGGAACCAGGGCAGATACTTATGAAACTGTTCTACTGTGGGCCTCACGGGACCCAGAGTGCGGTTTATGCAGGTTTTGAAACAGTTGAAGGAAGCTGCAGAGAGGGGGGACACTGAGTAGTGACACACCAGGCAAGGCAGCTCCTGTTCTGATTCCCACTCTGTGCCCCAATCTAAAGTCCCTAGTTCTGAGGGATTTACACTTGCCACACCCAGTTGTGGGAGATGTGTCCCTCTTAGCTCCCAAGGCAGTAGGGAGGGAAAGTTAGGTCAAGAAATGGGATCTCCTACACTTGTTAAATACAGCAGCTCCATATGCAGGACCATAGCTCCATTCCCAACTCCACAACCCATCATCCACAACCAGCATGTTCTGCAAACAAAAGTATAATACTCCAGGGACACATGTTAGTATGCATGCCTAGACCCTAAACTGCCTGGACCCTATGGGTTTGGTAGGAGACTGAGAGACTTTTTTTCTCCTGCCTCAGTTTCCCTAAGCTGTAATGGGCAGTGAACCCCCTGTAGCCCAAAACTTACTATCCGTTGAGGGACAGAACTCATCCTTATGGGGGCCACTGACATAAAGGCGGCAGCAGGAGGAGGATGGGGTCAGCCAGTCGATGAAGTCATCTACCCAGGAGGACGCAGCAATAGCTATGTAAGACCTGAGGCCAGACAATGGAGAGAAGGTGGAGCCAGTGAGTCTGCTGGTGACTCCTTCCTGACCCTTGCACTGGAGCCTCCCCTGGCTTTGTTAGCTGCAGAGGCAGGGCATGCAGAAAGAGAGAACAGGAGAGGAAAGAGAAAGCAGACAAGGAGCAAGCCAGGGTGTTGGGGAGACCAACCACTTACTGGTTAGGGAATTCACTGGCATACTGGATTTTCTGGGTTAGGGAGAAGCTGTCACAGCTTGCACTAGAGCAGATGCCATTCATGCCTGCCACACTGGAGAAGTTGTAGCCCGAGGTGGTGTCAAAGTACACTGGAGGCCCCACTTCAAAGTATCGGTTCAGAAAGAGGAAGTAGTCTATCAGGTAGGAATCCTGGGAAAGAAGAGGATCTGTAAGTCTAGGAAATATCCATAATGGTCTTGCCCCAGGTCAGACAGAGTACATGCTCAGAAGTACATGCAAATGTGCCTATTGAGGTACACAGAGGCGTGTACAGAGGGACACACTCAGAGGTACACACACAAGGTAGATGCTCAGAGGAATACTCATGGATACACTCAGATACACATGCTCACAGCACATGTAAAGGAACTTACTCAGGCCGGGCGGTGGTGGCGCATGCCTTTAATCCCAGCACTTGGGAGACAGAGGCAGGTGGATTTCTGAGTTCGAGGACAGCCTGGTCTACAGAGTGAGTTCCAGGACAGCCAGGGCTACACAGAGAAACCCTGTCTCGAAGGAAAAAAAAAAGGAACTTACTCAGAAATGTACAGAGTACATATAGACATATAGACAAGATACAGGCTGAGGTACACACAGCACTGTGTACTTTCAGAAACATGCCCTGATGCAAACATAACATGTGCACACCAAGATGCACACAGAGAGACCCCAGGAGACATCAAGTAGGCCCATAGATGCACTGTAAGAAGTTCAGCAAAAGAAGAAAACTGAAGGAAACTGGATGTGTTATTTGAAGAAACAATAGCCAAAACCCCCCCAGATTGATGAAAGAGAGGCTTGGATATAAAGCTTAAAGGAACTCTAGGGAGGTCTAAAAGGACAAACTCAAACTTCGCCCAAGGCACACTGTCATACAGCTTTCAAAAGGCAACCTCGGAGAGCTCTGGGGACAACACAAGAGAAATGACTTGTTACAAGAAAAGATGTGACGCAGTTGCTTTCACTTTTTCCATCAGCCACCTTGGAGACTGCCGTTTATATATTCAAAGTACTAAAGGGGAGAAAGAATCTTCTTCTCAGCAACTCTGTCCTTCGGAGAGGAGGGCTTGGGGTGTAGCTCAGTGGTAAGAGTGCATGCTTAGCATGTGGGAAGCCAGAGGCTCAGGCCTAGTGTGGTGGCACACACCTTCGGTCCCAGGACTTGAGAGGCAGAGCTAGGAGATATCTGTGAGTTCAAGGCTAGTCTGATCTACATTTGAGTACACAGTGAGGCAGCACTACATAGTGAGACCCTGTCTCAAAAAAAAAAAAAATTAAAAATGTGGAGGAGGATGTGTTTCATAGAAGAAATTCAAGAAAAAAACCAAACAAACAGAAACACATCATGTGTCCATGGACTGGATGACAAATGTTAAGGTATCAGTTCTATCAAAGATAAGCCATCTGCAGATTCAGTGTAATCCCTCCATAAATACCAAGGACAGTTTTTGAAGGAATCTAAAAATGTCAAGCTAAAATTCAAATGTAATCTCATAAGAACTCAAATCACAGCCGGGCAGTGGTGGCACACGCCTTTAATCCCAGTACTTGGGAGGCAGAGGCAGGCAGATTTCTGAGTTCGAGGCCAGCCTGGTCTACAGAGTGAGTTCCAGGACAGCCAGGGCTACACAGAGAAACCCCTGTCTCGAAAAACCAAAAAAAAAAAAAAAACTCAAATCACCCAAGAGAAATTGACAAAGAACAAATCTGCAAGTCTCATACTTTCTGATTTGCAATTTGGCTACTGAATCAAAGCAGGGCCCCGCTGACATGGGAGTCTGCATGGAGGTCAATGGAGCAAAATAAAGAGTCACACACATACATGACTGAATGATTTTTGACAAGGGAACCAACACCATTTGAAAGCTATACTTTTTAGTATGGTCCTGGGGAAGCTGGATGGAATCAAAATTTGTCCACTTTCATAACACTGTATATAAAGATCAACTCAAAGTAGGGCTGTGGCACACGCCTTTAATCCCAGCACTCGGGAGGCAGAGGCAGGCGGATTTCTGAGTTCGAGGCCAGCCTGGTCTACAGAGTGAGTTCCAGGACAGCCAGGGCTACACAGAGAAATCTTGTCTCGAAAAACCAAAAAAAAAAAAAAAAGACATATAGGTGATCAATATATACATGAAAAGATATGTAACATTTCTAACCATTGAAAATGCAAATCAAAACCACTATAAAGTCAGACAGTGGTGTTGCTAGGACTCTCAAGAGATCAAAACAAGAGGACAGCAGCATTCCAGACCAGTCTGGACTACATAGTGAGACCCAGTCTCAACGAAAGCAAATCAGAGCAAAAGAACCCACCAGTACAAACAGATAGGTACTACTTCATACCCTGTACCATAACTTTTATTTTTTATTACACAAAATAGAAGACAGACAAGGGGTATGGCTTTATGGCTAACTGATTAAGCACTTTCCCAACAAATGGGAGATCGAAGGTTTGATTCCCCAACACCAAAAATTAAAAATACAGAAAAATAACAAGTGCTGAGGCCAGAGAGTTGACTCAGCAGAGTGCCTGGGTTCAATTCCCAGCATCCACAGGGTAGCTCACAGCCATCTGTAATTCCAGTCCCAGGGGATCTGACACCCTCTTTCTGATTTCTGCAGGCACTAGGCACCCACATGACACACAGACATACATGTAGACAAAACACTCATACAAATAAAGTAATAAATCCCAAACCAGCTATTGGTGAGGAACTCACACAGAAGGAAGTCCCTCTGTGTGGATGGCAACATGGATAGGCCTCCATGCAGGACACCTACTGTGGCCTGAGCCAGCACTCAACCCTCGAATTTTACAAACATAGATGTGGTTTCTCTCTCAGGGTCCACTTAGAGCAACTATGTATGGTGCCATGCCTCGAGTTATGTCCCCGCCTCAAGCTCCTCCTCCTCCTCCTCCTCCTCCTCCTCC